TCAAGCTTCAGCTTGAACTCGGCAATGGTTTTTGACGCCACTACCTCCTGCGGCAGTTTGTTCCATGTATTAATTACCCGGTGCGAGAAAAAGGTGGCTCTCAGGCGTTTGAGCGCCCGAGGCTTTTCTAGCTTCATACTGTGTCCCCTTCTGTTGGGCACACCGCTTGGCTGAAGTAGGTAAGAGATTCCCTGAGAGAAACCCTTCAAGATACGGAAGGTTTCGATTAGGTCCCCCCTCAGCCTTCTCCGATTGAGTGAGAACAGGTTTAGCCCCTGGAGGCGTTCGGCATATGTCGCTCCCCGAAGGCACGGGACTATGTGCGTGAACCTCTTCTGCACCCTTTCCAGAACCCTTTGGTCCTTCTTCAGAGTAAGGGACCAAGCTTGTACGCAGTACTCAAGATGCGGCCGAACGAAGGCCGTGTAGAGCGGGACAAGCACGGCAAGATCCCTAGACGTCACTGTGCGCTTCAACCTGAACAACGCTCTATTGGCCGTAAGTGCCGCAGCAAGACACTGGGCAGAGGAGCTAAAAGCGGAGTTCACAGTGACCCTTAGGTCCCTGATCTCTGGCATGACCGTCATAGGATCCCCGTCGCGAGTCCCCATGTAGCGTGGCCCAAAACCCTGGGCACTCCCGGCTCGTAGGATCTTACACTTTGTTGCATTTAAAGGGAGACCCTACACTGCAGACCATGCTTGCACTGCATCTAGTTCAGTTCAGTTTGCACAGGACGATTTGTGGCCCGGGCCAATCTTGCGTCCAGATTGATGTGTTGTTGGCTGTTCTTGTGGCTTCCAACACTGCGAGTCAATAGGTTTTTTCATGCACTAATATACAGGGCAGAGAACCGTTAAGGTCCAGCTGGAGGTCTACACCCTGATGCGGGCCAAGTAGTTTAACGTCGTCTGCAAAGATGAACGTCGGGTTCAACAGACGGGGAAGTAGATCATTGATGAAGACCAGAAATAACAATTGTCCAAGCACCGAACCTTGAGGGACTCCGCTATAAGCATGCTCGTATTCCGACCAATACCCCTCCATCCGTACGCGAAAGGTCCTCCCTGTCAGGTAGCTCTCAGTCCACCTGACTAAACTAGGGTGGAACCCTATCGATCCTAGCTTGGCTAACAGCAGTCGATGGTTTACGGACTCAAAGGCCTTACTGAAGTCCAGATAGCAGACTTCGACTTCCTCCCCTCTGTCCAACCGTTCAGTCACGGCATCCAGGAAGGCTAGCAGATTTGTGAGGCATGAACGGCCTTGACGAAACCCGTGCTGAGCATCCGCCAGCAGGCCGCATTGGGTGAAGTACCTGGCCATCTTATCTCTGATTAACCTTTCCATGACCTTTAGGATCACGGATAGTAAGCTAACGGGCCAGGTCAGGTCAGGTCTTGAAGTCTTGAAGTATTGCACGGGTGCCAGACTAAGCCCAATGGTCCCGTATCTTAGTGGTTTCCAAGGTTTCATTCTGCGGGCGGATGTTAGGTAGTTAGAGTGAGTCCGCGTCCTGTTTGTATAAGGTCACTTAAAATGAGGTAAGAGGAGAGGAGAGGGGTGCAGTATCTGCATGCAGTGCAAGAAATCGGGAAGTACAGGGAAAAACGCTGAACATGATATGAATAACGATATGAGGCAGGGAGGTGTTTACTGTTCAGGGATAATACCAAGATGCAGGTCTAGATTCCTTCTGGAAGCAGATCTTGTGGGGGCATTAGCTACTTCTA